TATAATTTTAGCTTCAACGATGAGAGGGTACTGAAGAGACTTAGTAAGTTAATTTTAACGTGTTCGCAATAATTAATGTGATTGTCTAATCCCTTCCAGGGTTGAGCAACCAACGTACCGTATACAGTGGTCTCGTCGAGGATGCGAACTCTTTTCTTGCAGAAACGCGCGAAGAACACGATGAAGAACATGCGAAGGAAATAATGGACCTCTATCACTCCGTAGAGCAACACGATAGCTCCGAATACACCGGTCAATACCCAGCAGGCTATCATCCTGATCAATCTCGTATTCCGTCCGTTCTTGGATTGAATCGGGAACAAGATCCCCGCGTGGTCAGACTTTGGAAATTCTCCACCGTTGCAAAGCCACACCCCGCTTTATCGATTCGTCGGTCGAGACGTACGGTGTTTCCTCGTTCGCTTCTCGTGGAAGGGAAGTCAGGTTGCACAATTAGCATGACAAAGGATAGCAGGTGGACCGACGTCGCATGGCGAGCAGTCCCATTATGAGACGCATCGGCACATATCCCGATCAAAGCGTCAAACCGTTTCCTTCCTTTTCTTTTCTTCTTCTTCTTCTTCTTCTTCTTCCTCTTTTTTTTTCTTTATACGCACGAATATACCTAAAACGTGACAGATAAAATTTTAATTATCGGGAAAAAATGAATTGAAAATTGTTCGTTCGTCGAAAGAATTTTCGTCGAATTTGTTCCACGCGATAGATTCTACTCGAGAGCGAGACGTTTTTGCAACACCATGTTGTAGAACAAACGCTCGATAGCGAGGCAACGTTGAATGGGTAACTCTTTCCCAGGCAACGATTAGTCCGTGGAAAAATTTGCACTTAGACGAACAAAAGTTATTTCTGAAAAGCATACACACACACACTGAGTAAATATTAGAATAATACACGTCCGTTGGAATTGCGCGGTATTCCTCGTGCTGACCCACACATCGGGATCGTTCGTAAAATAAACTGCACATCAAAAATAGGCATCGATGAATCGTGTTGCAATGTTGCTGATCGCTATAGGCGACAAGTCGAAAGATGACAACCGAGCAAGAACAAGCAGCGACGCGATTTGGCAAACGGCAACACCGTGGCGTAACTTTTGAACGTTGAGTTTCTGGGGGAGAACGATACCGTTTACGAAAGCGTTTAAATCTTTCGTAGCGAAAGCTACTTTCGATACTTTCCCGCTCCGTCCAATTACGAGGCAAAGCACGTTTTCCTTTGACGAGCGCTCCTTCGTGAAAAACAAGCTCAAAAATTCGTCGACGTCGCCGTCCATTTTTCAAAATAGCGAACGTTCTACCCTCGAACGGCACGCAGCCCTTTCCATCGCGCTAAGATCGTTATTCGTTTCGCACGCGGTAAAGATAAAACTGTTGTCGACTGGCAACTGGTTGCGATAATCGATGATTGCACCTACCTGGCGGGTGCCCGTCAGGTGGAAATATCGAGGATGCGCGACGTCCTGTGGCTGACTATACGCGACACATGAATCCGCACATGCTTATCTACTTACACGCGCACACGCACGAGGGACACGCGCGAGGAGCACACGTAGACGGAGCAGAATTAACGGCAAGAAGTATGCGTTCGTGTCGACATCTCAGAAACTGCTGATCAACCGCGTTCCCCGGTTTCGATGTCGTGGTGAGCGTTACGGGCGTCGGAACGTCCCTTTCCGAAGTCGCATCTGCGCCGAGGATTTCCAACCACGAAGCCTACCGTTCCTAGTGGGAGGCGAAACCTTGCTGCGCGTTGACGTCAAAATCCTTGCCGCCTTTTTTAATGGGGGGATCGAACTATGGTCGTGCGTTGCATAGATGTTTGCGGGGAATTATCGTAAAAAATAGAATTGGAAATGATATAATCGACCGGTTTGGTCACTTCTTTTTTTCTTTGTACACTGAGAATCCGGTTGATCGGTGTATAATTCAATACGAAATGAATTTTTTTTTTTCTATCTACGTTTTTTTTTTTTTTTTTTTCTTATTTTTTTTTTTTTTTTCTTATTTTTTTTTTTTTTTTCTTATTTTTTTTTTTTTTTTCTTATTTTTTTTTTTTTTTTCTTATTTTTTTTTTTTTTTTCTTATTTTTTTTTTTTTTTTCTTATTTTTTTTTTTTTTTTCTTATTTTTTTTTTTTTTTTCTTATTTTTTTTTTTTTTTTCTTATTTTTTTTTTTTTTTTCTTTTTTTTTTTTTTTTTTTATTACGTTACGTGGCATCGGATTGAAAGAGTGGTTCGATTAATTTTGAATGAAAAGTGAAGAAAATAAATGATATAATAAGAAAGTCGAGAAATGTAGTAACCTTGAACTTTACGAGATTCGCGATGTTCGTTGATCCATGAAAGGGAAAGAATCTCTTTATAGTATCTGTATTGCTTGTACGGAAGATTCAAATATATGCTAAAAAAAAAAGTCGATTTCCTCAATAATTATTAATATCGTTGGTATAAAATGTTAAAAAGGAAATCACGATACGATCTATCAATATTTATAAAATATTATTTTTTTAGCACAAATTGTTCTATCATTGTATTCCATCACAAGTTTGGATCCTCTTTTATGGGAATATTTTTATTTTTATTTTCATTTTTAAAAATTTAGAATTGAAATTTCGTTTGAACGTCATTATTAAAATAGACGTACGTACTTTTTATATATTTATATAATAATAAACTAATTAATTATTGACAATTATTAGTAAATATTAACATATATGTTGACGTAATATAATATAAAAAAAATATATACTATAAATAATCTTTTGTACAAGACCACATTTTATAACATCTTCTTTCATAAAAAGAAAACAGAGTACGATTTTATCTTTATCGTCGAAAATTTTTTCTCGCTATTACTCTTCGTTTTTTTTTTTTTAAGAGTATAAAAATTTTTTTATTTCTTGGCATTACGTGAATTTACTTTACGAAATTTAACGTACGCTTTGTGTAATTGATACGGAGGAGAAGAGCAAATGAAGCTTCATCAAACGTTATTTGAAGGCGAGACATGCACGAACAATACTATGTTACATCAAAAAGGAGCTGGTCAGAAAACGCTTTCCTGCTGATGTTTTATGGAAAACACGTGATCCGCGAACGAGCAACCACGAAATCGGCACGAATCACGATCGAATTAATAAATAAGTCACGTACAACGTGGGAATTGCAGACGTCGTAAAATTTCTATTAGTCTACCGGAAGTTTTACCGAACAATTACATTCTACTTTTAGCTTTTAGCCCTCAAACATAATTATACCATTGCTTTTTTTCTACATGTTATGCGTAGAAGCATAGAAGTTAGTATCGCATTTAATTTATTATATATAGTTTATTATTATAAAAAAATTATTTGTACATCATTGCTCGAAACTCTGCTTTAAAAAAATATAGAAGACAAATATAAAATAATATAGAATCAATAAATAAATTAAAATATTCGTACTATATCTCTCTCGATATTCAACAATTTTTATTTATTATTCGGTAGAAAAAAATTCCATAACGAACGGCGAATCATTTTTTTCGTATCGAGTTAATGGCAGATCGTATGGAATAGGAAAAACTGGAACACCAGGTTCTTCTTCCTTTATGGGAAACGTTGATGATCCAGTCTATAAATAATATGTGTTTGGAACATCTTTGTTCATGTATAAAATGTATACGTATAACAAAATTTTTACATACAATAAAGCTTGGAATAAATACAACACCTCCTTCGTAATTCATAATATAATGAGAATTTTTTCCAACCGTCCCCCATGCTGCTTTACTTAAATTAGCACTAGTGAGGACAAACCAAGGTATTCTTTTCAAATCGGGTGAGATTCTTGTATAAGTTTTTATATGAGGCATTGCTTTATCTCTGCCAGTTTGTTTGGCTTTCCACTGACTGAAAAAATTGTTAAATATAAACATATCAAATCAGTGATGTAAATAGACATTAAAAACTTACTACATGTACGATTCTATCCATTTTTGTTTTGAATGTGTTTGAAGACTGTACGGTAGACAACAAGATCCAACTCGACAATCAAAACTTCGTTTATAATTGTTTAAAGACGGATAAATGAAGTGGAAATTCGGATGACTTTTTAAACCTACTGGATTTTCTTTCGACATCGAGGATGTAATTTCTTTCTGAAGCCAAGTCTCGTAATTAGGACCTAAGCTACCAATACTCGAACTCTGAGCAACCAATGTCCATTGGGGTGCATCAGGTGGTAATTTAGCGTGTTTGGAAAGAATGGAACCTAATTTTCTATGTCCCCAAGAGTCATATTCCATATCCGTGTGTCTCCCCGGAACAGAAGCCAAAAAAAATACGTTTACCGAAGAAAAGTCTGCTCTTCTTACAGCACAAGTCCATTCTGTTATACCTGGCTGTCTATATCTATTCAAATAGCGTTCTAAATCCTTCTTGAAACCCGTCGGTGATTCTCCTTCATTGGAATTTGCAGATTCTGACAATGGTGGAAGATGCGGTGATATCCAAATTCTAGTCAACAAAATTGAAGCAATCATTTATTCATTAAGATTCTTTCCTCTTTAAAACAAATACAAAAAATAATCTTTAAATTTATTTAAAGACAGACCCTTGCGTTCTATTCTCCCAATCGTCCATGTATAAATTCGCGGTAGATACCACGACTCGTATTCCGTCATCTTTATATTTTAAAATCATAATTTTGGTATGATGGCAACCAAATTTTGTTGGCATATCTACATAAAACATGGTAACATTTGAACCCACTGGTCCTGTATCTACTCTTTCTCCGAGTAAAATGGACATATTTGTGTTTTGTTCAGCCAACATATATTGCACGTGTAGCCATCCAATATCAACCATAAAATTAATATGGAGGCTGTTTACTATTTCTCCTAAACTAATATCTAGAATTTCAGGAAGTGTTATAGAAAATGGTTGATCGTACGTTTCTCTTGATCTATTAATTGTTGAAAAAAATATATGATACGGTGCTGAACAAGCATATTTCATGGCAAAATTTCCTGGCTCAACCAAAGACGATAAACATGTTTCATATCCATGCTTCTTCATCATTTTAATTGCTTTCTCTCTTGTAGATTTGCACGATTGAAATACTTTTATCAAAGATGGTTCTTTTGATTGCTCTTGACTATTTCTAGAATCATATTTTTCATCTGTTTCAGCATGTTTGCTATGACTTGATTTTGATTTCTTATTATGCCTTTCATTATCTTGAAAATCACTATTATCTCTCTTTTTTTCTTGAGAAGAATTCTTCTCTACGCTTTCTTCCATTATTTTAAGACTATCTAAATCCTCTTTCATTTTAGAAACTTTATACTGATCCTTATTTTTTTTATCATTGGAAGCTTTAAAAAGCGCCTCTGCTTCTTCATCCATATCTTTCAATTTATTTTCTCTTCTTTGAAGCATTATTTGCTTATGTTTCTCTACTTTATCTTTTAAATCTTGACTATTCATAGTATTATTTTCATTTTTCATTTTTATGTTGGTATTACTTATTTTAGAATTTAATTCTTTGATCGAAGAATCACTTCCTGCTTTTTCTCTTCTTAATATTATTTGTAAAATCTTCAATTGATCCAACAAGAGAGATCGATCAGAACATTCAAAATCAAGTTTTTCAGGTACTTGTATTTCACCTTCTAATTGTTTTTTTACAATTGTTTCTACTGAAATGCAATATATACTGTTCTTTATCACGATTGAATTTGGCTTATTAGATGCATATCATCACGATTATCGCATTAATCAGATCAATATTAGATTAAAAGCAAATAGTACGTACAATGTGGATGTGACATTTCATTGAAATGAATCGGATTTCTTCGATAGCATTTTTCCATGTAAGGACACGGTTTCTTTTCTGGAACTTGTACGAAATAACATAATTTTTTAAATTGTGAAAGATTAAATCTTAACCTTAAAATTAATCGCATTTTTTTACCATTATTAATACAAAGACTTGTTGCCATTCTATATTTTTATTTAATTCATAAAGAACGTTGTTACTGAATAAATAATATTAGATTTAAGATTTTATATGAATTAATTACACGTAATACTGTTAAAATTTATTCGACGAATTATTCTTTCAAATAGCTGACAAAAACGACTAGATGGTGCTGTAATCGATATGGCGCAAGTGTAGTTCAAATTGAAATTAGTCTTGATCTAAACTTCTCAAGAGTAGTGCGTCTGAAAAATCGTTTTGAAGAAGTGGAATGGAAAATAACGTGAATTAATATAAAGTGTTATTATTACAATTCTTTACAATACATTTATTTGTTCGCGTCAAGTTGGAATAATACAAATACGTAACATTATGCGTTCAATTTTTGTCTTAAAGTGATTATATATTTCTCGAGTTTTTATAAGCGCCAAATTTATTAATCAAAATGGCGGGAACACGTTCAACACGGTTTTTCGTTTCGTCCAATCAATCATCAACCAGATCTGAGATGTTTTTAACGTCGAACAATCGAAAATCAAGAAACAAAACAGGTAAGTCGATAAATTTAATCAAATAGCACGATATAAAATGATAAAAAAGAAACCGAAATTCGAATGATTTATTCCGATATCGTCTTAAGAATCTTAAATACGAGATATTAGAACGAACGTCTCTCGATAAAAGAATCGAGGAAAAATAAATCGTGAGAAAGAACGATATGGCCTCTCACGGGGAAAGGATTAAGAGCGTCTCGACGCGTAACAACGCGTCCTTAACCGATCTGGTATCGAGCACCAGAGTTAAATTTCAACGAGCAAACTTACCGACCGCATCTCGACGTACTTGATGCTCCGCGAGCGCCACTTGGAAGAGAATTGTGTCGATGCATTTCCATTTTTGCAAGAACAATTAGCGGCCGTGGAAAGAATCGCGAAACGGATTTAAAAATTAATTCGTTTAATATGCATGCGCATAATTTATAGGAACAGCCACCGGTATTGAACTGATTAAATTAAAGTCACATCAGTGGGATAGAATGTTTTCGACCGCCATTCAAAGATGAAGTTGTCTGGAGAAAGAGATTAAAAAAATTCACCGATTTAAAATATTTTTAATCAAATTTACATGATTTGATTAAAAAAATCGTGAAAGTGGATATTTTGCGAATAGACTACTAGATGAAAGAGTTCGAATTTTTTCGTAAAGTGTTCATTGATATAAAGATTAATTCTTCGTTCGTTCATAGACGTAGACGTAAAATTACTTATACTCTTTATCAAAATAATTAATTTTTTCGTTTCGAATAATACATATTCTCTTTATAACGTTAAACTGAACAAATGAAACGAAAAACTTTTCCAAATACTTTGGCAATTATTATGAAATTTAAAAAGATTATTTTCTTTATTCATCATTAATTTTATTCGTTACAATCATGATCGAATAAAGATTAATCGAATATAGCATCGATATTCATATCTGAACATTTACACGATTTCTCCTAAAACATTTACACGTTCAGTAACAAACGAGACACTTTATTTTTCTCGGCTGCTCGCATTTTTCATCTTTCGCAGCATCGATTCTCGTTATCCCGCGAAAATCTTATTCTCGTTATTCATTTTATTCTCAACACTGTCCGTTCATTTTGCTCGAGAACGGCGCGGATAGAATTAACGAGAAAACGAAAGGGGGACAAGCTTATTCAGGAGATTGCCGACTTTCTGGACAGTTTGGACAGAACGAAGAAAAAAGGCGGCAGGATTGGAGAAAATTGAATTACCATTGATTCACCTTCCAAACTTCTTCTTCGTGATTCCCATCGATGCGGCAAATTGAACATTTTAACTTATCAAATATTCCAATCCCGTGTATACTTAAACGACATAACATAAACATCATGATTTTCACATTATAAGCCCTTCCTGATCGTTTGACGATAAAACTTAAACACCATTTAAGATTATTAGCCGTTGAAGGGGACCGGCGATACATTCTCATAGGGAGCCGTCCACGAACGTACGATGGGGAACGAGGCGCCATAATCCTTATCACCGGTCGTTCCACGTTCCCGCGTGCCGTTTCGTGTCGTTTTCTAATTCGTTGGTCGGGACATTATGAAAACGACTTGCGGGGGATTTCCTCGTTCAATATCGAGGATTAAGCCGAAAGGAATACTCTCGTAGGGAGTGCGTATGTACGGAATAAATAACAGCAGCGCGTCGAATGTCACGCGGTGGAAGGTGGAAGGCGGACAACGGAACGACCGAAAAGTGGTCAGGCTTGCAGGATGTGAGGAGAAGGGGTGGGAGAGATGCCGTGCGTCGAGACGCCTCGATCCGCTCAGTCACCGCCCAGACCGCGCCGCGAGCGATCCATCCGCCGTGGC